AGGCTTCCATTTTAAAATCAAAAATGTTGAGTTTGCATCTTTGTCTTTAAAGAGGGTTGCATCTAAGAAGATACTATCAATGCAATAGTGATGTCTGTGTGACATGTACCGAAATGGGATTGTTTCACTAAGGGTACCAGGTGATGTAGCAGGGTTGGACAAGCATGTGTTTGGTAAAATGAGTTAATACCAATGTAACCTCTCTCGGGAAGATTTCACTCAACCATTTAGTGTTGACTCTGACAGAGTATTGTTCAGTTTAAATAACTACAGCGCTACTTAAAGTATTAAGGATAATTTTTTGTATATGTGATTTGTGAGGGTCTGTGCCATAAGGTGTGTGTATGTCATTCATGGGGAAGTGTGGTAAGCCTGGGGAGTGGTCCATGTTGTTGTGGGCATTCTATCTGACTGCTTTTGTTCCACAGTGGTAATAAGGTTCAGGTCTCATTTATACTGCAGGGGTTGACTCGGTTTTCTGCCTCCCTCTTATAAAAGGGCTGGAGAGCATTGGCAAGGACTCAGCTTGATTTACTGTTTATAGTCCCAATTGCTGGGGCTCAGTGGCAGGGAGAAGGATTTTTGCTATAGCCCTTTTACTGTAGGAAACATCTAATGTATGAAATCTTAGTATATGGATCTTTGTACAGATCCATCTATGTCAGTGGTTTTCAACCTTTCCTCAGCTGCGAACTGGCAAAAACAGGAAATCCACCTTGGGGACCACTGAAGCAAGAACAAAAAGCACCATACACATAATGCAGCATTCTATGTATTAGCTTCCAAGCACAAACCCCCCCCCCCAAAAAAAAGAAAAAAAGAAAATTCTCCAAAAGAATGAGAAACCAAGCAACAAAAAATGCCAACAAAAGAACAAAATACCGAAATCAAATGCAATCAAATACAACCGAAATTTCCAGAAAGCAACATTCAAGCAAACAAGGCCAGTGTGAAATCCACTGCCACCTCCCCACAAGAATACTTGATAATTGTGGCTGCAATGTTGCCTCCAAGAGACAAAGCACTGCATTGACATTGACACTGACAAAAAATAACTTGCTTTAATGCTGAAATACAACTAACCCCCCCCACTCAACCCCCCCCCACACACACACCAACACAGATTGGCCACGAAAACACAACACAGCCCTGCCCCAACACTTTCCCCACCACAATACAGCAGAAAAAGCCTGGTCTTTGGGGCCCTGCTCTTTGGTGCAGCTCCCAGCCAGCTTCCACCAAGCTATCTTTCCCTTCCCTGCACCCTCTCCCCGGCTGCACCAGCATACCCCCTGCAAACATGATGCCAACCGAGGAAGAGGTGGTGGACCACAGCCAGCCCCTGGACCAGTACATGGCAAGTGGGATGTACCCCCCACCCACCAGCAGAAAATTGCTTCAGTGTTACCTTTTCTCCTTGTATGTGGTGGTACTCCAACATCAGTAAAGGACTGAGGCTTGGACGTAAACTGGAAGGACACCTGAGATTCTTTGAGAACTACTTTAAAAGATCTCACACAGCTTATCTAATCCCTTTACTGGAGATGAAATAAAAGTTCTATTCCCACAAATGTCTGTGGTGTCCAAATTGTCAGTCTGTGCCTGAAATAAATCTATTCTTCCTTTGCAGTCTAGCAGTTGAGCGGCATTCCACCTTGATTGTGCTTAACTACTTTTGTATTTGCCAAATTAGCTGAGTTGGGTTAATGTATGTAAACATGCAGTTCCTTTTATTCCATCTCAGTGTGTATTGTTTTCCTGTGGGCACAACTGCATGTTTCATCTGAAGTTCATGCTATACAAATCTGAATTATGGCAGTGAGTTTTTGTTTTGAAGACTCTAGACTGCCATAGACCTCAAGTGCTTTTTAATATAAAGTACATAATGAAAATAAATATCCCAGTAATCAGTGGATCCTGAAGGTTTATATGTAAGAATTTAAGAACTGTTGTCACACAGAATGTGGTAAATATTTGCTTACTTTGCTTACTTCATAAGCTTTAGTCTCATACCAAACCAATCAGTTCTATTTGGGACTAGCTGTGTTTATTATGATGCAATCTTATGGTATTGAGGATAGTTAAACGCATGTTCATTTTTTTCTTTATGGGGAAATGCTTTATCATTTTTATCTAGTCCAATCTGTGATTGGGTTGGTTTTCAAGTCGCACTTAATAGTAATAATCAAACATCTGTTCTAGGTCACTTCTTTCCTAAGTGTGTGCTTGTTTAGGGGTACATAATAAAGGTCCTTTAGAAGTGTTACAACTGCTTTGTATATGTTATTTTAGTAATCCTAACAATCACCATGAAAGGATTTGATGTTAATCCCATGAGTCAGATTGGGAGTATAAAGCTGAAAGTCACTATTTCTGAAGGCCAACCAACTAATTTATGCCCAATCTGAAATATGGATTTGGAGCTTCCCTGTATTAACCCTCTCATTTAATTATCTACTGCTTCAACACTTAAAATGACCCCAGTTGTATCCATTCAGCTCATTCAGTTATATCTCCTCTAAAATACTTTAGCTATTGTATATTTATAGAATTCCAGTACGACTGTCTTCTTGCACTGAAGTACTAATAAATTTATTATGGCATTGAAAGCTTAGCATATCTGCAAGTGCTTGAGGTCTGTAAGACTCTGTTGCGCTCCTTAGTTTGACCATCCTTTTAGTATTACTGAACTTTACTGTGTGTTTTGCTGTATCTACTTTTGGTTTCATCACAGAATTGAAATCTGAACTGAATGCCAAGAGCTTTTCTTTTACTGCATTTCTAATCTATAACCTCTGGGTAGTGCTGAGCTATAGCAGAAAATAGTAGAATAGCAGTTATACAAGTAGGAAAAATACTTTTCTTTGGTTTCCATCAATAATATTCAATTTTCCAACTTCAAAACAAAAAACAGGAAAGTGTTCTTAAAAAACAGAAGTAAAATTGGAGGGTCACAACAGCAAGAGAACCTATAAGGAATTATGAGTAAGGAATGATGAGTGCACAATACCTCATGTAGCTCATTGTAAAATCTTGTAACCCGATAGATGGGGTTACACTACCGAGATACCAATATTTCATTAAATGTCAGCAAAAAAAATGTAAATAAAATACTTGTTAATTGATGCTATAAGGACACTCTCATAATATCAATAGCAACTATTTAGGTTACCTTTTATAATGATGCATCAAGCCTGTGATTTGGAGAGGTATTTAGAATAGTTCAAAAAAGTTAATTCAAAGAATTCAAATATTCTGTGTACTTTGCTAAAATGGCTTAATTTTATAGATGATTCTAAGTATTTGTATTCCAGTTTGCATATTTCCAGTTTCCTTCCTTTGTTCTGTCTGTAAAATTAAACAGCCCTATATCATCTTGGGGACAAAACCAGAATATAGATGTTACGCATGTTAATTCAAGGAGCTTGACATTGCTGTGCTGCTTTCTGGGACTCATTGAGAAATAGGGACATTTGTTGTTAGAGTAATAACTAGCTTTTTGTTTATCATTGTGTGTTAAAATAAGTCCAGGCGTCCTGTAGCAAATGAAGCATTTGATATAGAAGCCTATGTTGCTTGTAATATGCCAGTCTGAGAAGGTCTTCAGTGCAGACTTTTAACAACTGCTTAGAATGAAATAAGATTTTCCCAGATTCCTGTTGAAGCCCAGTCAGTTCTCATGTTTTTTTTTTATAAAACTTTCCTAGTTGTTGATGAGTTACATGATGTATTCTGGATCCAGTGATATAGAATGAAAAAATAGCTTTGCCTTCCAACAGAACAGTGATATTTGTGTGGAAATGCTTAAATTATGTAGTGAAAGGGAGATGAAGGGTAGCCTGTGGACTCCAAGGGTTTAGTCTGGGGAAGAGGAACTTTACCAATATTCTTTACTGCTAAGAAAGTTATTCAGATAAGCCTCATAGACAAAGTTAGCTAGATCAGAAGTGGTAATCATGAAGGACCAGTTAAGGGCCCATTATTAGGGGAAAAAAAGTGTTGTTATTCTTCATTACTAGTACATTCTGATTCAAGCAAGCATGTTCATTTTTTCTGACTCCTCAAGTGGCAGCTATATTTGGGGAAGTGGGGAAGGCAATTACTGATGAGCACAGAGAAAATGGCATTTTGTAAAAAGCATAACAATTTAAATCAAGCCTTTCTTGGTTAAAACATTATACAATCTATCTTAGTATCAGGTTAAAACTACTGATTTGTTTCCACTTTGGCTTTCTATATGACAAACTCTGAGTCAGGTTTCAGAAATCTACAACTTTTTTTTTTTTCTTCAGGAAATTGTATTTACAATGATTAGGATACTAGTGACTTGTTATAAGGCCCAGGATACAAATATTTGCTTAGGGTTGCACAGATGGGATTCGTTTAGTGTTACATACACACCTATGTACTCTAATCCAGAACTTGCTTGAGTGTGAGGGAACTGGTATGTGCACAAGATGCCTCTATTGCAGTGCTTCTCTACTCATTTCAATTAAGGGAGCTTCTCAGTGAAAGGCTAATATGCTTGTATCCCAGCACACAACTCTCGATGCAATGTTTATTTCAGTTAATGTTGAACTGAACATAGTTACCTTAGTCAGTGTCATTGGTACAAAGTGTAGATTTTATATGAGTGTTAAAAACACCATTCCCAAATAGGTACATTCTGTTTTCCTCTTGTTAGTATTTCCTATCATAGTTAAGTGAATTGGAATGATAGTCTTCACTCTGAGTTTTAACACTTACAATATTTATAATGTTATTTGTATCTACTCTTTCACTGACTGGAAGGCAAAAGTTATCCAAAATATCTACAAAATGAGATGTTCTATATTACAATATAGATGAGATGTGTGGTTTAATATACTTTTATTTAGCTTGTAATAAGGAATTTGGTGTATGTCATTCTTGCCATCAAGCACTCAAATTGGCCAGTGAACTTAAACCATCTTTTAAAAATTTAAACCTTCATTCTGTGTGTGTCTCTTTCTTCTGTTTAGGTCTTCGCCCCTCCCCAACAACCTGGCTGTAGTGTGGGACCTCTCCCACTTTGCTGATGACGTCTTAGCTGGATCCATTGTGGGGAGGAGCAGCATCAGCAGTTCTGAGGGTGAGTAGAGGCTTCCAGGGTTTGGGCCTGGATTGTAGTGCCTCTCTTTCCCTGCTCTTTCCTTTTCTAGCAAATGTAGTTATCCCAGAACTACTTCACACATGATACTTCTCTTAAAAAGAAATACATCTGTATATGGAAAATATGAACATGATTTCATCTCATGTGACACATAGCACAGATGTTGCTTTTATTAACAATATTTGCATGCTATTCATAGCAAATTTCTATGGTTTGCTTACAGTAAATAATTTTAAATACAGAATAAAACATAAAATCAAAATCCGTATAAATGGAACAATGAAAGACAAACTCACTGCAACCACTTGTTATGAATAGACATGTTGAGCAGCTTGCTATAATTAAAACCCTGTGCAACGCTATAGAAGTGATTTCCTGCCTGGGAGAATTGTCATGTGTGAACAAAGTGTTGTGAATTTCTGTTTAGCATTTTGTCTCTTTCATGCAGTGTATTTTCCTCCTACCGGTGTTACTACTGGCATCTAGGGAGTACTTAGAAAGTTTTCTGTCATTTTGGTTAAGGAAACAAATGTGACTGTGAGAAGACCTCAAACATAATTATTATCATTTAAAAACATTGAAAGAAAAAAATTGGGAAGAATTGCAAATGTTTTGGAGGTCTGTTAAGGTATTATAGTTTGAAAGCTAAATAGCTAAGAGTTCAGTGTTGCTTTCTTCAAAAATTAGTATCTTGTCATCTCTCTCTTAAAGCAGTTGGTGGAATATCCCCATTCTGCGTAATCCTAATCTTCAGTGGTGCTTTTTAAGAATTACTACAACAAAGTGGTTAAGATCAGAGGTAGAGGTAGTGGGATCACTATGGGTGCAGCCAATATTTGATGGGGTACAGGGAATTTCTGGCATTAGATACAAATTTAGACTGTCTTTCCTTCCTCCACCCCCACCCAAGAAGGGCAGAGGTGGAGCTAAGGAGCTATCTGTGAAAATCTTGTTCCTCATGGGTGCATGGAGTTTCTGATTGATCAGTGGTGAAGGCTCTCTTAGTGGCTGCCATGAGGCCAATCAATAGCTACCACTTGATCAAGAAAAAAACCATGGTGTTTTGTATCCCTTTGCGTCTCCCTGTGGGATCTCAGTGTGGCATGACTGAGTGGCACTGCACAATCTACTGGAGAGGGAAGCATTATGGTTGGATCCAACTTGTGGCTGCTTAGAAGTCTTACCCTGTGCTGAGGGCCTGAATTCCCTCCATCTAAAGCCTAGCTTGACTGGCAGTGGTGATGAGAATGAAGATGGGTTTTTTCCTTCTGATTGAGAAGATAGCCTGAATCAAACCCACTAAAAGCATTCCAGTCTGTACTTTAAAAAGTGACCCCTCTCCTCCCTTTTGTGGAAGTGTGTGTGTGCATGCACACACACAGGCACAATCATTCTATCCTATATTGGTTTGGTGGCTGTTCAGCAGTTTCGAGAAATTATAGAAAAGTTAAAAATAGAAATGTAAATCAATGTTTGTTTTTCTTTGCCAGAAGCAGGAAACAGCAGGCATAGAGGGAGCACCTTGATTTTCATGATGGTGTTTGTGGTGCAGGCAAGCAGGAGGTGAAGTACTTTTCCTGATGGAGTGGGAATTGCATCCAAATGAGTTGAGGGACTTCTAGGAGGCAATGTCCAGCTGCAGGGCAACTAAGGGGATGTAAGGGTAGTGTAGCAAAGGAAATCAGGGGTCTCCCTTTTCTTTCCCCTACCTTGTAGGAGTTGCTGAGCCTCTGGTGCCTCTGCCTTCTTCCTCTGATCCTTTTGCACCTGGCTTGGCCACCTATATGTCTTTCCATTGAAGTAATGGGGCGGAAGAGAGACCTAACACTGGCGCATATGAAGAAAAGAAAGTGAATGTGTAGCACACTCTGTAAGAGTTGACCGGCAACTTGCTTAACATTTTTTTATGGAGGTTACAAATGGTTATTTACCAATTTACTTTAAAATATATTCTACAACAAATAAATTAATTTACTTTGAAATATATATTCTCCTTTTCTCCTTCTTATTCTCAAAGAAATGTTTAGAATTAGAACAGCAGAAACACTTTCTGTTTTATTTCCAAAGTTGTGACAGCTTAAGTGAGCTTAACACAAAAAATTACAGATGCTCAGAGTATACCTTTTTAAAATCATTTTTTTGCATTTGTGTTATTTTATTTAGTTGCCAAGTGACTGATATTAGATAGGCTGCTCTCTACCTTATCTTATATAAACTGGGCCTACAATTCTATGAACATTTTCTTTGAATTAGTCTTGCTGAAAATTATGGGAGTTACTTCTGAGTAAACAGGCATATGGTTGTATTCTAGGGATAGCAGAACTCCCAGAGAAGGCATGTTTCAAGTTCTGGACCTCACTCAGTCATGAAGCTCTTTGGGTGACTACGGGACAGTCATGGACTGTCAGATTAACCTACCTCATAGGACTGTTAAAAATAGAGAACTATTTCCAATATTTGAACAACATTGGGGTCCTTGCAAGGGGAAAAAACAACATACACACAAAGTAAAAATAGTAATATATGGAAGAGTAGCTGTACGAATGTAATGGCATTATTTGGGATACCTTTCTACATCTAATTGATTACAGCAGTTTTGCAGGAATCTGGGATGGGGAGAAAGATAGCAAACAAACATGGGCATAGAGACATGTAGGGTAGGAAGAGTAAACCAAGTGGTAAATTATGTGATATAGGGAAAAATTGGGGCCTAGAGGGATCTGTGGGTGTTCAGAGTTACATGTTCGGAATTATATTAATTTTATTACATAATCCTACATGCACAGTCACCTTACCTTACTTCCAGGAAAGTGTATATAAGATTGGGGTCTTCTTAGTAAATGTGCTAAAAGCTGCAACCTTTCTTCTCTGTGCTGAAGAGATTTCCAATATTTTGAACTAAAGGGAAATATGAGGGCAGCTGATTTGGGTAATTAGAAAAACAGACAACTAAAAACAAATGTTGCAATGCTCATCCTTGAGTGTAGGGGAGGGTAGACATATCCAAAGTTGGGCAATGCCTTTGTTACAAATTTTGTTGGTCCTTATAAAAGCGTCTATGCATGTTTGTATTTTAAGAGGCCTATGATAAGGTTGCTGGAAATTTAAATACTTCAGCTTATTGGTTTAGATTTTAAGGTGCGGTTAAGTTAAAAATTGAGAAGGAAGGACTCACTGGAAAAGACGCTAATGCTGGAAGCAATTGACGGCAAAAGAAGAAGGGCACAGTAGAGAATGAGGTGGCTAGATGGAGTCACTGAAGCAGTCGGTGTGGTGTGAGCTTAAGTGTACTCTGGGGGATGGTGGAGGACAGGAAGGCCTGGAGGATTGTTGTCCATGGGGCCACAATGGGTTGGATGCAACTTCGCAACTAACAACAACAACAAAGTTGAAAATGCAAGAACAGAAAAAAAGTGAAAAAACTTAGAAAATTTATCCATTTCTTTATTTAAGTGGGAATAATGATGAGGAGCACCCTTTTATGGCATATACACTGGCTTCCTCACCTGGTCTGCTGGGCAAAAACAGCAAAGTAACGTTCTGTAGTTCTAGCCTCTGAGCATAGTCTATCTCTATTTTGCTGGCTAGTGAGTGATGGTGAAGACAGCTCTGCCTACTTGTTAGGGCTCAGTCACCGCAAAAGAACTCGTGTGTCTGAAGCTCTGGGTGCGTGGAAGATAAGTTTTAAGTAAGCACAGTTTGGGGCATTTTACAGTTGTCATGAAAACAAGCAAAAGGTTAATTAGTTTGCCATCTAAAAAATTAAGTTATAGTAATTACAGTGGACTCGATATTAACTGGAAGTCAAGCAACCAACGCTCTCAAGTAACCAGCAAAAAAAATCAAAGAAATAGTACTTTAAATAAAATTGAAAATTAAATCAGTTTCTAGCAGAAATGTAAGTTTAAACTTGGCATGCCATGCCATGCCATGCCGCATCATGAGTAAGCCCACACTTCACGCACTACATGTTTGTCTTCACTCCCAACAATTCACTGTGTCTAAATATACCAGTCGGTTGGAACCTTTTGTTATTCAATTTTTTTTGCACATTTTTTATTAAGATTTTAAACTGAAAACTAAAAAATAATCAATCATCAAATACATCGGACATACTGGGTCAGCCCCCTATAACATATCTTTTAAACATTCTATAATCATATTCAAATCGATTTATAAAAATTTAAAGGCATCTTTAAATCTAAGCCAAGTCCCGTTTCTCCAGCCACTCGTAAAAAAGGTCCCAAGTTTGATAGAAGTCAGTATCTTCTTTCTCCTTCAATAATAGAGTCAATCTGTCCATTTCTGCACAGTCCAGAATCTTTTTTAAAATCAGTTCCTCAGTGGGTAGTTCCTCACTCTTCCAGTATTGAGCAAGCGCAATCCTCACTGCTTGTTATTCAAATTTTGTGTTCTCACCCAACCCCAAGTATGCTGAAACAAGTTCCAAGTAACATAAACCTCAGGCCGAAGATGGAAATATGCAAGAGGCTTAAGAATTTCTTTTTAAAAGTGAATTTTATTAAATTGAAAAGCTTGCTTGCTTGCTTGCTTGCTTGCTTGCTTGCAATCTTTTCTATACCATCCTCAGTCTTACAATAAAACAAAATAAAACAAAGTACATCATCATCTTCTATAAAACCCCAATTAAAATAACAATTTAAACCTTAAAATACTGGGAAAATAAAAAGGGTTTGTCCTGGTGCTGAAAAGAATAAAGTGGTGGCACCAGGCAAATCTCTCTGGGGAGCATATTCCATAACCGGGGGGCCACTGTAGAAAGGCCTTCTCTGTATAGCCACTCTCCTAATCTCCTTCAAAGAGGGCACTCAAGGACCTCCGACTCAGATCTTAAGGAGCAGGCAGGCACATAGTGAAGGAGATGCTCCTTCAGATATCCAGGTCCCAAGCCATTTAGGACTTTATATGTCATCATCAACACCTTAAATTGGCCCAGACTTCAATTGGTATCCAGTGTAGATGGTAAAGGACTGGCGTTATATGTGCATATCTGCCGGTCCCTGTTAACATCCTGGAGGCTCTGTTCTGAACCAACTGATGTATCTGGACTGTCTTCAAGGGCAGCCCCACGTAGCGTGCATTACAATAGTCCAATCAGGAGGTTACCAGAGCATTGGTCACTATTTATTGACTGCCATATAACTAAAATTACACACTGAATACACAAACTGTAAAACTGTTACATTAAGGCTGTCTTTGTCTTAATTTGCTGTTAATTACTGCATTTCAGTATTAATATCAAGTCAATAAAGAGTGCATGGCATAGCATGGCATGGGGTACAGTATTAGTTAAGCCAAGCAACCAAAAACTACATTTATCCCACATCTGCCAATCCCCATGGGCGCTGGTTAACTGACTGTCTACTGTGTTTGTAATTGTACACAGACATGTATGTAAACAAGTATATGCAGATTTGTGCAATTATGGTTCACATGTGTTTGACTTGATTACAGGTTCTTCAAGTGGTTTAGGTCATTGGACTAAAATCATGACTGATCAAATAATGACTGTTTAGATATTTTAGCATCACAGGAGTTTTTCACCAAGCATAACCAGGATGTTTGATCAGTGCCCACCCATCTTACTCCTTCACTAACCATTTGGAAGTTGATCTGAACTTGTTTAATCTTCAGATAATCAAATTAATAAAATACTTTGTATGCAAACTATTTTCTAAAATTTTGTTGAATTTATTATTTATTATGCTGTCAGCCCTTTGCTTGTGCACAACCAAACTGGTTAAATCTTTACACAGTAGATCCCAAGCTAACATACAGTGAATTTACAGGGATAACAATTGACAGATTTATTGCATATATAGAAGAAGAATTGTCACATTTAAGAGTGTTGATGATAAGCATCTCTCCTTTGCGCTTTCAGCCATCCTATGGGGGACTTCTTGCACTTCTGTGTTCTATTATAAATAGAACTTTATAGTAGGTTTATCTGTGAAACAAGCTTGGCCTACCGAGGTACACAATGGCATTCTCAGTGGACTCCTGGATTGGTACAGGATTGCTTTCCTTTGGGACTAAAATATGGAGAAGACACATGATCGGAATCATCTGTGCACATACATATCTGCTGCTTGTTCTTCAGCAAGCCTCTCAAGGGTGGGGCAGGAGAACTGTAATGTGAGAAATAGCCCTGAATTTACTCTGTAAGTAGTTGTAACACCTTTAATATTTGGTGTTAATGATATGGTAATTGAACAGTGCTGGCTGTCTTCCTTAGTTAGTGACTTACTCCCAAATCTGTGGGATGGTGCAATTACATAGTTAACGGGTGTCCTTGATACAACCTATTGCTCTGCTTCAAGACTGCTTCTTTGAGAAATGTGGACTGTTTCTGCAAAGATAGCATAGTGTAATTTCTGCAACTTTCATGTGCAAAGTTTCAGTAATTGCTCACTCAGCATTATTTAATATCAGTTTATAAAAAATATATATGCTTTACTTTCCTGGTCAGAAACTGTCTATCAGAATTAAAATGGCATACTAATTGCCTGAATATATGCACTCAGTGTAGCATTGTCATTTCCTAAATTATATAAAATTGGGTTTTTAGATGTTGCGTTTCATGGTTAGAATGGTACCAGTTTGTCCTAAAGTTGTATGTAAACCTTGTTTGAATTTGGTTTTAACAAGTCATTTCTTAGAATTTAAAACATTTTATGCAAATTGTTTAGGTGACAACAGGAGACTCAAACCCAAATCAGTTGGAGAGCAACATCCATAAGAGAATATTTGGGAATAAACACTGTTACTATTTCACTGCCATTCTCTTGCATTCTTTGTCCTTGAAAGCAGAATGATGGAATGTGCAATTGACTTTATTGTATTTAGCTGTTACCTGGGCAAGTGATGCCAGTATTGTTTTTGAAACTACCCCAACAACAAATGTTTTGACCAGGGATGTACAGACTGCATGCAAGCCCTCTAGGGCCTTAACTGCATCCTC